ATGCTGTTTTATTTCCACTGCTAAAACCAGCGAAAAATGGTAATAACCCAGCCCATTACCGGCCGGTAAGTTTGTTACCTCACATTGCCAAAATATTCGAAAAAAAATCATTTTGAACTACTTAAGAATGTTTTGCACACAAAATGATTTGATCCCACCAGAGCAAAGTGGTTTTCAAGCTCAAATGTGCACTGAACATTCACTGGTAAAACTACAGACGGAGATTACAAAAAACATAAATCGAAATAAGGCCACTGCTTTAATATCAATGGACTGCTCGGAAGCATTTGATTCGGTTTGCCATAATCATCTCTGTCAACGTCTTATCTATCTAGATTGTCCCGAAGAATTATACGCAGTGTTAAAATCATTTCTAAGCCGTCGTACCTTATCAGTAAAAGTTTGCAATGAGAAATCAAATAATGTCGATCTCAATTGTGGGGCACCCCAAGGAGCTGTTTTATCTCCCGTTCTTTTCCTATTATACACTGCGGAAATAGTGGGAACTAAACACTAAAGTGCTTCTGTGACAGCATTTGCTGCCTCAAGTAGCAGTATGAATGCCAAAAAAGCTATGCAGCAGGCGGAAATAGCTTGTGAAAAAATTGCAGAACAGCTAAAAATCCTAAACATAGATGTTAACCCCGAAAAGACGAAAGGCATTATATTTTCGTACCAAAAAGGAAAAAAGAAAATGCCAAACGAGTTCAAAATTAACAATAACAGTATTAAATTATCGACTGACTTAACATATCTCGGTATTCACTTCGACAGACATTTAAAATTTACTAGAAATTTTGACAAAAAATTAAAACAATAAGATCTAATACGTACAGACTCCAAAACTTAATTCGGACAACAAACCTATCTTTACGCCTAAAGCTTCTAGTCTATACAAGTATAATATGGCCGGCTCTGTTGTAAGGGGGACCTCTGTTCGAACACATCAGCAAAACAACTCTGAAAAGATTACAATATTTCCAAAATGGAATAATTAGAAAAATTGTAAGAGGAACCACGCTGCAGAGAAAGAAGACATTGGATATTCAAGCAATACTAAATTTATCAACTATAAACGAATTTCTGGCAAAACGAAAAAAATCATTTTTCGAAAAATCCCAACAATTGGCAAACCCTCTTTTCAACAAATTATTACCAGCCCAAATTCCAAAACGTTGGCAACAAATCACATGAGATATATGTTTTTATTAATTTAGTTGTAAGCTCTAGAGTATAAGGTCAACTCAAGCCTGAGGTGAGCCCCATCACCTTTTATATTACAGATGAAGAACAAAGTACTCATAAACGACAAAATCAAAAATACACATTACAATGCTTTTAAGCAGTAAAAGGACTACTGTGGAAACAATGAAAAGGATCCAAGTGAAAAATAAAAATGGGGTATGAAAAAACAAAAAAAAATAGATGTAGAACGAATGACAGAGGATGAGATTCCCAGAAAAATAATGAATGAGGCCATTCATAGTACCAGGTGAAGAGGATCCTAGGATAGTGTTGCCCAAAATCGGTCTTGGTCTTGCACTTTGCAAGAACAAGACCAAGGCCGCCTAACTGTTGCAAGAGCAAGATCAGGACTGGTAAAAAAAAATCTATTTTTTAAATAAAAATTAAGGCAAAATAGTTACTAATACTTGACAATCTTAGTTACTATACGTTAATAATTGGTATAACCAATATACTTTTGCATTTAACTCCTCTAATTTTTCATTCTGGCTTACTTAGGTTTCTCCTATCTAAAAAAATACAGTAATATCTCTATAGTAACTGCAAGACTGTTGCGAGATTCTTGCGCAAGACCAAGACCATGACCAATTTGGGCAACACTAGTCAGGGACTGGAGTACTACTGCCCAACGGCGTGCAGACTGGCGGAAGTTATTGGAAGTGGCCAACGATCACTAATGGTCTGTCGAGCCAATGGAATAATAATAATAGATTTTAGAAAGCTTGAAAAAGTTTTGTTTTTCTCAGGGCTCAATATTATTGTTGGAGACTAACATAACTAAATTCATCATATTTTTATTTTATGAGTATCAAAATAATAAGTAAAAATTCAGAAATATTCAGGAGAGTTTATATATATATATATATATATATATATATATATATATATATATATATATATATATATATATACAAGGAGATAAGAGTTGGTAAGCTAAGTGGCTACTGAAAGAAGATGGACGGCTTTAAATCTGACTGAGGAGGAGATTCTCTGCCTCCCTGATTGCAGCTCATTGTTTCCTCTTTCCCCCTGATCGGCCCATTAACGCTTTTTTACGGGCAGGTCCACAAATTACAGACTCTATACCTCCTTCATGTATAATAGCACTTATCTTGTTCTATTTTACTCCCGGCTTGGAAAAACCGTTGAATAACATTTAGCAATTATGGTCAACTTATTTTTGGTTCATATACAAATGTACCTAACAGAACATTATTTTTATAAAATAATTTTCTGCTTAATCGTTAATCAAAAGAAATTATTCTCTGTGATGACGGTAGTTATATCCCTTTTGGCAAAATAAACAAATAAAATTTTCAATTCCGTTTTGCTATCGTTATCGACAACTAAATCGAGCTAATAGTGACAACGTTTGCCATCCTCCATATGATATTTCCATAATTGAATATCTTCGATATGAAATATTCCTTGTTCACCTGAGAAAAGTATTAATTTGTATACGTGCAGTGGAGCCTGAATAAAGTTTATCAGACAATTAAATGTGCCGTACATACATTCTTTCTATGAATGTTTTTTTTAATAATACTTGTGATGAAACAGTTCAACACGATTCTATATCTTCAAAATTTGTCAAGCTTATCAATTTTTAATTTAATGTGTTCAAAACCTGGATCTTTGTAGCAGAAGTGTCCGCACTTAGACTTCACTGGCTTCCAATTCCAGTGACGCGTGTGTAACCTTTAGTCTTGCTTTGCCTTTTACTTGTGGAAGACAACGCCTGGTTTGGAGTATCGTAGGCGAATGAATGCAAATGTTGCATATATGTATGAATGAATATTAGATGACTCTTATTTCATTTATTTTTGTATTTAACATTAATGTACTTTTTGTTTTTCTACTGATTTTGTTATAATTACTATTTATATATTAGGGGCCTTATATCAAAGAAATCTGGAGTATGGGTAAAGTAATGGTCTCATTAACTCCGAAGAAACAAAAAGTTGCATTTTTCATATGGAATTTCCTTTTCCATCAATTTTACTAGTAAAAACATTAAGTATATATCACTACTATTAGTGCAAAAGGTAATAAGTAAACATTTTCAACTTTTATTCTATTTGTGCTAAAGGTGACATTTTATATTCTGCAGCTGATATAAGTAGTCTGCTACTATAGAAATTAGCAGAGGGCAATAAAATATGAAATTATACTCTTAATGCATAAAGAAATAATTAGTTTTTATGATATCCTGTAAAACATCAACATTAATAAAGTTTTAGTAGTGATATGCATATTCAGTACGCACTGGATTTTTTTTTTTTAATCGCGATTCATCATATATGGAATCTGCAAATACGGAACTCTTTCGCATTTTAATATTAGCTGATGACCGAAATAGGACGCATTTTTCCGAATCAGCTTCTCCCAGAGATTTTATTCTCATACGAAACATTTTATACCTTGTAATATAGATATTTTTTAGCCATTGAAAATGGTGAGGAAGCTATACTGACCTTACTTGGCAGACGATTTTATTATTTATTAGTTTACATTTTTCTTAATTATATATATTTATTTTTCATATATGTAAATGTTGTCTGAATGGATTCCTTCGGAACTAATACTTAGTATCCTTGTGTGTGCCAGATTTTAGTATTATTCCTAAAAAAAAAAAAAAAAATGTTTATTTCGGGAATAGAAATTTTTACGGATTTTTTATAAAAGTTTCATTTAAATAAATACAGTAAAACTTTTTATGAACAAAAGTTCTACTAAACACATTTGTGTAACAAAGTTCTATATTTATTGTAAGTTTAACTTTTATTAGTACCTAAAAAAAACGGTTACTTTAAATCCTAATTGGCAGTAATTGGGCTTGGATTACAGTTTTAATTTATCTAAAATGAATTGCTTTTTTCGAATGTGTCGTTTTTTGTTTTGTTTTTAGTTAGGAATAAAAGTCACTTTTTAGATAAATATTTTGGTCAAATCAATAAAGCTTTTAAATAGAAGCTTTTTAAAAATAAAAGTTTTGTAAAACCTTTACTTGAAAAGTTGAAAGGTAAAAGTTCTAGTTCCAAAATAACACAATAAATTTGAAAATAAAGATTCCAGTCATACTTAACCTGATTAGAATTTTTTTTTCTTAGCCCCCAATAATACAATACTTTGAACAATTTATTTCACAATTTATTTTTGTGTTGAACGCCTTTTACTGTAACTGTGTTACATTCTAAGGCCTTCTTGAAATTGTCTTTATGTTTTGTTGTAATAATAATTATTAAATGTATCAGTAAAGGTGATGGGGCTCACCCATTTTTGTGTTCATAAGTGTCTTATTACCACTTAATAAGGCCTTAATCAAGGTAGGTCGTAAAATACTTTTATATATTAGCAATTTATCTAGTCTAAATGATAGCATTGGGGAAGTTAGAAGATGCTGGAGTCTATATGTTTTCAGTCTTACAGATTTGATTTTATTATAAATGTGAGTCAACAGTTTCATATGCCGATCTAGCTTAATGTCAAGATAGGCGATGGAGCGAGACGGGGGCTGAGTTGTTTTTCCAATTATAAAGATCTTTGGTAGTCTAATTTTTTTTTCCCTTTTATTGAAGTGAGAATACTACACAATCAGTTTTTGAACTGTTCATTTCGATTAGAAATGAAAGTTAAAATTTTATTTTAAGTCCTGGTTCATGCAAAAATAAACGGGCAGAGGGCTGATTCACATTAATTAAATATTAAAGTACTTCACTTCAAAACCACATAGCGAAATGTTCTATCAATCATATGGCAAACAAGGATGTAGATTCTATTGTTTCTTTAGAATTCTTTCTTTAAATTTATTCCGTGCATTTTGTTTTATCTCCCCAAAATTAATATGAGGATGACAACCCTTTTTGTTGTACATTTCTAAACAACTGCAATTGTCGGCACCGCTGCGGAAGAGATATATGTCGATATTTGCAGCGATGGCTTGGAGGGCTGAGCAGACGCTCTCTAACAAAGAGGACAGACCCTGTTTGCTGGCGAGCCGAGGACAACATTGACACATAGATCCATGATTACATGCCTACCCTCCAGGCTCCCCGTGCAGTGCCATGTTGGGAGAACTAATATCAGCAATACCGATATTGAATTATGTTTGAACAGGCGTTTATAGTACATGTAAGTCTATCCTCTTTAGTGTTATATAAACTTCAGTGTGCAACAATTGAATGGAACATTCATACTACGGCGTTTCAAAAGCATTTTAATAATATTCAATTTTTGAAGTTGAAAAAATTAATCCTGTTAATAGAGTACGATTTGAGAGGATGTTTATTTGTTGGCGTATTAAGGCGTAAAACATCAGGATCATCTACGCCTGCAAATTAATTTTGTTTATCACCAAATTAAATTCTTATGAAATTTAAAATTGTTTTGAACGAATCGTTTGATTTAAAAAAAAAAACCTAACATTAACTTTACTGTGTCTTCGTCATTTCCTAAAATGTTTGGTGTTGGAGGTGTAGTAATTTCTGAATTAGTTAAATCCGGTACGTAAAAAAGTTAAATGTGGTTCACTGTGATAGTATTATTGCAGCATTGTGGTGGTGGCTGTTTGCTAATAAGGTGTGAATGGGTAAGATTGGTGTGGCCTATTCTCAGTCTGGTTAAGAGAACCTCTTCTCTGCGGAAATAACGATTCGATGTTGACCATTTGTTTTTTTAATATCTTTTAATTTGCTTGGTGGACTCTCATTCCACATAGATTGCCAGCTATGAGTTATTTATTTTTTGATGGGAAGACTTGTATCTTGCGGTGTTAGAATGGCAGCGCCCCGACGTAGAATGTACTTGTTTAGCTGCCACATCCGTGAGCTGATTTCCAACGATTCCTACGTAGCTCGGACCGATTTCCCTAGAGTTTCTATCATATTTAAATATTTATGAATTTTTAAGATTATTGGATGTTTCGGGTATAAAGTATTCATTCCTTTTAGAGAACTTAAAGAGTCAATTATTATTGTAATGTTTTGGATAGTTTTTGTAAGTGATATTTTACCTCAGAAAGATTGACTGCTTTTGGCGGTAAGGAAAGTGGGATGGGTGAATTAAAGAATACCTCGAATACTGACATGTGGATGGGGTTGGTTTCCAGATGAGAAGTGAATGTAAGGGAAAGGTGTTTGACGTAATACTTTATCACCGTCAGACGCTGCCCAAGAGCCACATTTCGATGCAGAGGATGTAAAATATGATGGGATTGGGAGTGATCTTCCACAAATAATTGTCATGAGGAGAGAGGGAAGTAATAAGTTAGAAGTTGAAGGATTGGGATCTGAAGGTGGCCAATTCCCGTGTGATCTACCGTCAGGATGGTCGGTACGGTATGTTATGTATTGAGGTACTTTTAAAAGCTGTTTCCTGGTCAGTCGAGTTTCCGTAATTATTGCTACATCGATGTTCTTCTCCAGTTGTAAAGCTGTTAGTTTGTCAACGTGAAATCTAATACCATTCGCATTCCAAAGGAAAATGGATATGGGTTTTTATAATGTGAGTCTTTAAGGATTTTTTTAAAGAAGGGATACAAGATTTGTGAGGAATGAGTCGGGGAACTAGGGATTAGAATCGGGGAACTAGGGATTTGAAGTCGGTGAGGAATGTTGCTAACAAACTGGCGAGATCTGTTGCATTTGAAGTAGGAGGAATGTGATGAATTTGTTTTTAATTGTTAGGTATATTAGGATGAATAGAATTTTGAGGTTGGGTTTGAAGTATAATTATTTTTAATATAAAATAATAGTTCTTATATTTTACCTTGAAATAATGAATAAAATTACAATTTCATTTATCTACTTATTATTCCTTAATTTACTTTTTCCTATGTTTGTTATATAAAGTTTTTAATTGTTAATAAAATAGCAATCCAAAATTGTCGTCATCGCCATTCTATTGAATAGTGCAAACAAAGCAGTTATGACTCCACGAAGTTTGCGGAGCTTCAAATCACTATTTCCAACTGTGTATATTAGCAGTGGACTACCTCCTTCTCCTGTTAAGTTCCTAAGTTAGAAACTCCAACTTCATTATCATCGATTCTGGAATACAAGCTGTATTTTAAGTGTTATATGGGACCTCCCATTTGTCTTTAATTTGCCTTCGAATATAAACTTCTGTACTTCCAAAAAAGTGACTTCACTTAAAAACTACATAGCACAATGGATGTATCTTTCATTTAGGTCAAAGTTGTGGCGCGGTCATTTAATGTTATTTTTCTAGCATCATTTTCCCTTTTTTTTTTTTTTTTTTGTAAAACTTTAGGCTAGTTATTTAAAACAGTAATGGAAGAGCTCTTCAAGAGGCTGAATGTTTTCAAAAATAACAAATTCATTGCCAGAAACTCAAAAAAGATTGAAATAGTCTAGCCATCTATTGTAGCTGGAAGCAGAGAAAGTAACCGGAATATGTTGCAAATAATATCAGCTCTCAACGTAAACTGGCAGGAAAATAAAAATGAAAATGAACTCAGCCCACGACACTGACACGCCGCATGTTACTGAATTCCATGAAAACATATTTACAAGAAATGAAATGGAAAATTCCATTTCTCTCGCTTTATGTTTGCTCCAACAGATTTTGCTTTTTGCTCGTTATTATCAATTTTTGAGTACTGACTTCAAGCGATATCTTTCATTGCAAACAATAAAAATAAAATAATCTGCAATTCATCTCACAAGAAACAAGAACTCAAATATAGATGTTTTTATATCGTAACATACTTTTAAGTACTTAAAAGTATCAAAATTAAAATTATTAAAATTTTAAAATATCAAATATTTTAAAATATTAAAGCAATAAAAGGGCTAATGCCTCAAATTTGCTAGATGCGCAGGTGCGAATTCCATAAAATGTAAAAATAAATAAAATAAAATACTTAAAAACGGACTAGCTTATAAAATAAAATGTTTTTCTTATAATTATATTTTCACAAATATTTTCTTTTTTTCTCCAGTTTCCAACTATCATATTCTTTCAAACTTCATATTTATCCATTTTGTATAGTTAATGCCAATAAAAGTGAGTTCATTTTTATAAATAAACCATATTTATACAGCAGAGGAGACGTATATGAACATTGGGCATTTAAGCCCAGTAAAGTGACACCAATGGGGATAAGACATTAATGATATGAAAGACCACTTAATTATTCAGTGATACACATAGTTTAATCAAAATCATTAGAGCCGTTTTTTGAGAAAATTGTAAAAATTTCTTTCACTGTTGATATAAAGTGGCACTTCCAGTTAACTGATTATAACAGAAAAGTTGCTGTGACTTCCAAACAATATACACATATTAAATACGTAATATCAGTTTCGTTCGACTTTTCATTTTTTAACAAGACTGTTCACATACACACAGACCATTTTGCGAGATTTGGTTATTTGGACTCAGCAAATCTCAAAACGTGCATTTCCGTTGAAAACACAGATTCGAAAATTTTCGCATTCGCAATACTTTCCCTTACTATATAGGTAAGTGAAAGTAAAAAAAAATGGCTCTGACGTTTTTTTTAAATTTGCTATATCAATGCAAAATAAACAGCATATAACACCTATAAGCTATGACAAGGCTTAAAAGTAAATTTTACAATATTTCTTCCTCCAAATATCTTAAATTATGTTAATTAGAAATATTTAAAGATAGTTCATTCTAAGTAGCAATACAAAATGGGTAAGGATAGACTATGGTAGAATTAAATAAATGCCTAGGAGATAAAATGTGAAAAATAGTTTAGCTGATTAGAACAAAAATCGTAAATAATATTAGCAATAAATTTAGGGGCATGTACGATAATATACCATCGTAAACCTAAATATTTCAATTTAAAAAATGAATATCTAAAATACAAAGTCGTAAACGGTAATGAATGAATGAAAAAATATTTTTATTCTGGGACTACAGTCCCCTAAGAATAATAACAGTGTTACAAATTTATGGGTATTAGTCTGGCTTAAAATAATAAAAGTAGAAGCTAATATACTGCTTATTGTTGTTGCAGTTGTGCAATAGTTGAAGTTACAAAGTGTACAGATACAAGTAATTTTACATATTAGCGGAAGTTTGAATGTGGAGTAGGTGGTGGGACAGGAGTTGTTTGAAGGAATTTGTGGACGAGTATTGACGTATGGATGTAGGAAGAGAGTTCCAAAGGGAGATAACACGAATGACGAAGGATTTACTGGAGAAAGTAGTTTTATGGGAGGGGATATCTAAATCTATAAGTTGAGACCTGGTATTAGGAGAGTGGATAGAAGAGCGTAGAGTAAGGAGTTCCAGGATGTAGGGAGTGTTTTTGGTTCTGAGAACTTAGAAAAGGAAAACACCATGGAGGAATCCTCGTCGGGAAGTAGAATAAAGCCACTTCAATGCTGAGTGAGAAACAATTGATGACTTTCAATTTTTATAGCTTATAATGTTTACATATCGAAAAATAGTGAAATATATATCTAAAACGAAGGTGAATTTTCACACGTACCAGCTGAGGCATGAGAGAGCATTACGAGTTGCAATAAGAAATTTGCACTCCTCAACCCCACATGAAGTGATAAAGGAAGAACTAACGACGCTTCGTTTCAGAGTACGTCAAGTAACCAACGAAGAAGATTAAGGAGCAGCCAGAGGTGAGAAATAAAGTCACCCTACCTTTGTTTTTCGTTGACCTGGACCCACCACTAGTCATAAAAAAAATATACGATATCACTAGAATATTCTACAGAAGCGTGAAAATTGAGAAGCCCTATTTCGAAAGAGAAGTGCCACAATAGTCAGGCGTTCGGCCACACGAAGACTTATTGCCTTTACTTCCGTAAAATGCGGTGAACAACATAAATCAGCAAGTGCACCAAACCTATACGAGATCCTGCAGTTTGTGCCCTATGATCGGAGGGACATCCAGCGAACTAAAAGGGCCGCCAAATCTACAAGAACCTCAAAACCACATACCATAAGACCCAGAATCAAGATGAAACAACCAGGCCAAGTAGAGAATCTGCTAGAATAGTAAACTCCAATTTTTCATTCTCCTGTATACATGGAGATAAGAACCAAACCGTAAATTTCAAGCTCTGTCGCAACAACAACCTCCATCTCATTCTCAAGATCCTATCATTTCTAATATACCTAATCAACATCCTCATCAACCTCATATTCTTCCTCCATCAAAGGCCACAGATCTTACCAGATTTTGTTGGCATCTTTTCTCACCGACTTCAAATGCCTTGTTACCCCAGTCATATCACTTCTTACAAATATTGGATCTCACCTCATCCCACCTTTAAAAAAAATCCTTAAATGACTTCCACCAAATCATTATCTATCCTCCTTTGGAATGCTAATGGTGTTAAAAATCATACATACAAACTATATATTTCATTACTGTGCAAGAACATTGATATGGGAGTAACTACTGAAACTCGACTAACCACTCAACAACTCTTCAAAATACCGCAATACTTTACACATTGACCATCCTGACGGTAGAGAACATGCCGGCACTGCGGGTCACTGTACACCAATCCCTCTCCCATCACTTACTTCAATTACCTAGTCACGATTTCCTACAATCCACCGCCATTATAATCAAAATCTTCTCTTTTTCCATTACCCTAACATCAGCATATTGGCCTCCTAACAGATCTATATCCGATATCCAGTTCAGTTCTTTCCTTAACTCCTTAGGACATTGATGTGACATCATGTCATAGAACATAATGTGTGCAGACCTAAACGTCAAGCATCAAGAATGGGATTCAAGAACCACAAATTCTCGTTGTAGATCCTTGCTGTCTGCACTCATTTCTCAAAATTTCAGCCTTCTTCTCCCTAATTCACCTACCTAAAGCAGTTAATCCATCTGAGATCAAATATCTTTTAAGCAAAATTACTCCTCGTAAATCTACTGGATACGACCTCCCAACCCCACATATCCTTCTATCAAAGCTATAATATTTGTTACATATATTTATAATTACATCTTAAGAACTATCCACTCCCCTCTCTTACACAAACATTGCACCATCGTCCTTTTCCTGAAACCAGGCAAACCTGCCAATGATACATCATCCTATTGACCGATTAGCCTTCTCCCAAATCCCATATATAATAGAATCCCAAAAAATTCCTACTCATCAATTCTGATTTCGTTCCCAACATTTCATTATTCAACAAGGACTCCGAGTTGTCCACCATATATCCTCAGCCCTAGAAAAGAATCAATTTAGTTCGGGAGCATTTCTGGACATAGCGGAGGCTTTTGACCGGTTATGGTATACCGGATTGCTTTTCAAGGTTTAATTCATCTACCACAGTCCTTTTATCTAAAACTTCGATCCTACCTCTCTGACCGCTCCTTTCATGTTCGCTATGGTACTGAATTATCAGACAGTTATTCAATTAACGCAGGAGTTTCGGTTGGCAGCATTATTTTTACCGCAGATATCTCTGTCCATCCTGATAGCCTCCTGGCAACATTCGCTGATGATACCGTTATCTTTACAGCGTCATTAAACCTACAAATGCATCTCTCCATAATTGAACACCGGTGTAAGAAATGGCACATTAAGATAAAAGAATCCAAATATAAATACATAACCTTCACCCATTGTCGCAATGACAAGGCACGAGTTTATTTTAACACCATCCAGGTTAATTTCTCAGATACAGTCCGGTATTTTGGCTTTCTCTTAGACAGACGACTAACGTGGAACCCTCATACTAAACTTAAAAGACAGGAACTTAATCGAAAATACGGCAAACTATACAGACTACTAAACAGAAAATCTAAACTTTCTATAGAAAACAAGTTACTGATCTACAAGACAATACTGAAACCTATTCGGACTTACGGACTAGAACTGTGGGAAACAGCAAAATTTTCCAACATCGAAAGCATCCAATGTTTCTGGTCAAAAGTCCTTCGAACTATAGTCGATACATCTTTCTATGTAACAAAGAAAACCCAACATCATGACCTCAACATGACTCTCCAAATTTCACAAGAACCTTAAGTATCATCCAAATCCTCTTGCACAATCCCTATCAAGCACCACCCATCCCTATAATCCTCTTAGAACGTTAAAACGGAACTGGCCCCGTGGCCTTTTATAGATTGTATATATTGGAGTTCTGGCAGTGTTTAGATTCCCCACTCAAGACATGAGTGTATGTGGCTAAAGCGCTCTCGAAGAATCTCCGCTGGCTTTAGTACCAGTGATGCTGTTGAGAGAGTAGCACAGGGTTCTCATGGAGTCCACAGTTGGAGGGACAAGCCTGCCTCGGAGTTCCCTCGCCTTATTTTAAATAGTTTATGCAGGTATACATGTGTTTTTGAATAGTTTTAATTTCATTATTTTTTAATATTATATTTAAGTTGTTTTATTTTATTTATTGTATATACTTTTTGATTATTATTAATGTTATTTTTCTTCTAGTTATTTAATTTTATTTGTACATACAGTGTGAATGTTGTCCTACATCACTATGACTAATGTCAAAGTGACAAATTGTTGTAATACTCAATAAACAAACTGAAAAATAAAATATTTAGTTGTTTTCTTTACCGTAAAAATAATATATTCGTGGTAATTATTTCAACTAGCCAAGAAGTGAATTATTTTCTTTAGGAACAATGACTTGTAAATACTCAAATAGTGGATTCATTAGGTCAGAGCTTTTGGGATTCATCATGCAGTAAAGCCCAAAATAGAGTGAATGCGCCAATACATTTACCATATAATTTAATGAGGAGTATCAACATTTAGTTGGCATTAGGGATAACTTCAAAGGGATGTTCATTATATCAATAAAACCCTTCTGCTTTTGGTCTACAGCACTTAGGATTACCCTGTCCATTCCTTACAGCTTTACTCCAATTACACCAGCAATATTACCCTTGATAAACATCCTAGTATTGTATAATATACAAAAAGGGTTCAGCTCCGGTTTCATAAGTCTATTTGATTTCCCTTTAGGATAGCTTCCTCTCACTAGAAATCGGCTCAGGTTCAAATGGAAAGCTCATATACTCTTTTTGGCACGTTCCTCTGCATTTTCTTGTTACTTCTAAAATTGACTAGTTGTAATCAAATCGCTAACTCATTCAAAACAAGAGGTGAAGTTCATGAGATTGGTTGTGAAAGCAAACAGTGGTATCAGCGAAAAGTTGTTCTTTCTTCTCAACTGTACCTGATAGTTGTCTACTTCCTTTTATTGACATTGAATATTACACTTTTAAAAAAATTTGTTTTTATTTAGAAATACAATAATGGGTCACGTGGACAATAATATAGTGATATAAATTAACACATTCACACCATATAAACAGAAAACATAAAATTAACAAAAGTAAAATAATAATCAATAACTATATGCAATAAAAAATAAAATAACCTAAAGATAAGTAAAATAAAAACATACAAACTCAGTCATATCTGTATACAATCAGGCAGGGAACCCCAAGACAGGCTTGTCCCTCCAACTACAGAGGAAAAAGCAGAACTCCAAGAAATCCCTGCGCTACTCTCTCTACGACGCGGTAGTGGAAATCCAATGGAAATTGAGCAAGAGCGCGAGAAAAAAAAAGATAATAATTAGTTTCTTTACTGTTCATAAAACAGAGAATTACAAATCCTCTTAATATATCTTCTACACCAAACGAAAATTAATGGGTATTGAGCGAGTACAAAAATGGATTGGCATGAATTAAACTGGATGGATATTTATTTTCCAGTGGGGAAAAGCTAATCTGTTTTCTTAATTAATTAAGTTTTTACAGTAACTGTCGTAGAAATGTATGAAACTTCACTAATAATATGTGTTGAATATATTGGTAGTACATTGTATCTAGTGTTTTTTATAACAAAACATGTTTCGGTTATATCTCTTATGATCAAACGTATTAGGGAAAAATATAGCAATTCTGTAAAAGTTCTATCTGAGGCAAACTATTTCGTCTTTATTTTATTTTTCAGTTTGTAGTAACTGTTGTGACTCTTTATCTTAGTGAAGGAAAATAAAAAATAAAAATACGGCTCTTTATTTTTTTTTCAGACACAACGATCTACCTTGGAACATCCGGAAGTTCGTCCACAATCGGCTGAACGAGTTCAAGTTCGGAGAGGACCTGAGGCAGGTCCCCCCATGGTCGATGAGCGCTTGGTCACACACGGATTTGGAGAGGCTGAGGAGGGGGCATGTTTCAGCGCAGGTTGGAAAGTCATTAATGCATGCTCATGTCCAACTTACTTTGAAGTCATAGTGCTAATAATTGGTTAAATTTCTACATATTATGTTTACTGACAGTATTTGAAGTATTACTATCCTTTATGTAACACAGACGTGCCTAATGATGAGAATATGAAAGCCAATAGTGTTATTTCCAATAAAATCATCGGATGTTCCATACCATCATTGATCCAGATTTCATTTTAAAAAATCTTTACAGCTATAATAAAAATTAAAAATTAAATTTAATAGAAAATAATATCTTTCATTATAAAAATAAACGATGTTCTGATAAACGGTGGTATGATAATAAACGGTGGTCTTATTGTTTGGTATTCATTTTGATTTAATCCACTAATTTATTGATTAATCTTTTTATTGAGGTATAATACATTTTACCACACTTAAGGGTACTGAGTTTTTAAGCTGTAAGGCACACCCACACATATATTATTACAGTAAGGCTGGAAATCGGTTTTGTACCAAATATAAGCTCCTGTCAGGCTCAAATACCATGAATGGGGTACCGTTAGATTCAGAATTTCACGGGGGGTTAGCGAATCGTATTCTCCACTTTTGTTTTTCTTTCTAAAATAAATAAATGGACCTTGAAGATATTGATGCGTACAGCAAGACCCGGAACTATCGGATTCCTGAACTATCGGATATTCCTCCGGAACTATCGGATCCTGCGTTTTTAAGCCCAAAAAAGTACTATTTTCGAGATAACGCAGGGCATAGGGTTCGCATAGACACAACCTTACATTAATTGTAGTACTGTCGTTGAATACATGTCTCATTTCGTCGACTTGAGGTCTCTAAGATCGAGAGAGGAGTTTATATTGTTTATCGATAGTGTTTTTGATCGGGAAGCCATATCATCGTTAATTCTTCATCAAATCTCAAGATTGAGCCACCAATCTCGAAGGCTTCCTTCTCCTTCAGGCGGGCAAAATAGTCCAATCAACCCGAAAATTCAGGCAAACAAGTTATAAAAGAAAACACACTTTATTTGCGAATAACTAAAAAATTACACACTTTTCCCTTGGTTATGCCTATAATTATATAAAAGATTACTAAATACCCTACAAAGGAAAAAAAAATCATCGAAATCGGACAATTTTAACAAAGATACAGCTTATTGAAATTTGTAAACATGTTGGTTTCAAACATTAATGAGGATTTAAACTCATTTTTGATTCCTTTGCCGTTGACATTTATCGATAAAGTAACAATTGATTTTTTTATCTTTTGATACGTTGCATTATTTTTTTTCTTAATAATTAGGCATTTAAAACAATATGCTGTGCGAATTTTTCGCACAGGCCTATAATAAAATAAAAAAAGAACGAAATATATAAAAACAGATATATAGAAGATAATAATGTAATTATAACAAAGAAAAAAACTGTAATAAAAACAATGAAATATAAGTTGTAGTGAAATAATGCTGACGATTCTCATGGAAAAAAGAAACAAAAGAAAACAAAAATTAAACAAATAAATATGAATGATAATAAATTATTAGGAATTAGTAAATAAAAAAACTAACAATCATACTTAATTTTAAGTGCGTTATTCAAGATATTCTTTTAAATATATAACATGAAATATTCCAACGTTTCCAAAGAAGATAAACAAGTCTGTCAGTATTCGCTTACTTTTTATTTATTGTTGGAATCCTTGTACGAAGATCACAGTATTTCACGCACAGTATTGATCATATTTATGTTTTTTTCTTGTAAGTGGGTACTGTCGACTCTCAAACAATACATGGGTTAATTTCCGGGGAGCACCAAACTAAACACAGATAGAAACTTCTATATAGCGTAGAAGACATAAAATACAAAGATATACAAAAATTGAAAACTATACAAATTATAAAAAAAATCATAATTTTCAGAGATTCGAAAATAAAGAAAAATGTATAAAACACAAAACTTATACAACGATCAACAACATATAAATCAATACAATATAGGAAAAGGGCAGAATACTAAGTACAGAAATAAGTAAAGTTTACACAATGCAAAAATTAGATTTTACAAAAAATTTGTGAAATTCAACTATAGACAAAATACAATAATATTCAGAAACATGGAAGGATCCAACAAATTAAAGATAACATGGACAAAAAAATTAAATTAAAAATCACATACATGAAGACATTAACAAAAAAGAAATCAGAAAAGTTAAAATAAGACGTTACGAGATATGAAGGTAGATAGTATTTTCCAAAATGGCATGAGATAATTCAAAATGGCTGATTCTGAGGAAGCAAGATATTTTTGTTGTTTTTTTTTTCGCCTCGATCCTTAGCAGATAATGTTCCATTTTGAGCTATTTTCTTTTACCTGGAGTAATTTAAAAGTTCCTCCAAGAAAAGGATTTGACCTTTCTCGCCCAATCTTTTCAAGGAACACAATTTTAGATTTTTTCTTGGCTTTTGTTGCATTATCGGGCTATCCGAGAGGCGATATCTGCTTTTTCATTCTTCTTAACAACATAATGGGATAGGGCTCAAATGAATGCTACGTCAAAGAACTTTTCTTAGTTTCCCCAAGGAATGTTCAAAACATCAGATATGTTTGGTTCTTAAGTGTCAGAAGTAATTTTATAACACCCTTAGAGTCAGTTACAATAGCTGTCTATCGGTAATTAAAATAACTACGTAAATTGATATTGATAAAAAGATCAGATTGAATTACATTCATTGTTATCACTAACAAACTTTTATCGAAAATGGACTTGCACCAATATCAAAGAAAACGGCACCGATTTTTATTTTATTTTATTTTTTTCAAAAATGTAAACAAAATTAATTGATGTGTAGAAGAGCATGAACATTATAAAATCAAAAAAAGATCTTAGTTCGTAGTACCCCTTCTTATCATATTATAAACACTAGTATAAACTTTGTGAATGAACTCATTTCATCGTAACCTACAACATTTTTACTTGCGAAAATTCTCAGAAATGGAGCGCTTTCCATCGGGAGATCTTTAAACTGTATCAATTTAATGAGACATTAAAAACTCATGAACACCCATCTGGTTTTCACTTGAATCATAATCATATGATCTATGAATTATCTAATTTCATCGCAAAATAGAGAAAAAAGATGACCGACAAAAATATTGGGCCGATTAGCTCGACCTTCAGGTCACCTTTTTTTTCCGTTTAGTGATAAAATTATCTTATAAATCAAGTGGCAAGCAAATGGGTATTCATGAGGTTTTAGTACCTCATTAAATTATTTCATTTAATCAAAAAACGTCCCGTTTCTTCGTATTTTCGTTAATAAAAAAGTTACATTGAAATGAAGCCACTCTAGAAATTATAGATAAGTATTAATAATTTGATAAAACGGGTTCTGTACTTCGATCTATAAATAACGTTTGAAGTTTCGTTAAAAAATATATGTATTGAGAGCAGTTTTTTTCAATAATTTTATGTATTTATAAACTAAAACTGAAACAAAAAAATCTGACGCGGTGCACGCATCACACAACTTACACTTTCCACCCTCTTCTTTGCATAAATAAGTGTTTTCAGACAAAGGGGAAGTGCGTCTGAAAAGAAAAATGTCCTCGTGATCTACTTATGTAAATATATTATTAGAGTGCTACCAATGGGTAGTTTCTCAACCAGCGTTGTCATGTGATTGTATTATTACTGTGTGCACATTTACTAGTTGTATTTTTTTATAATACAGTTGTAAATATCAATTAAGAAAAAAAAAGAAAAAAGGGGGGAAAGTGAAAAAAAAAATAGAGGCACCTTTTTTATTTATATTTCATTGTGGGTATTTTTGTTTTTTTAAGTACCCATATATATATATATATATATATATATATACATATATATATATATATATATATATATATATATATATATATATACATATATATATATATATATATATATATATATAAATTTTAATATTTATATCCCTATAATCTATACAATTAAATATTAAATAATACTAAATCAGCTAAACTGTTAACACCCATACACACAGACCATTTTGGGGGCATCGGTTATTTAGACTCAGGGAACCTCAAAACGTGTATTTCCGTTGAAAAATGAGATTCGAAAATTTTCATGATCGCAATACTTTTCTTTACTGTAAATTTCATAATTGGTGAGTGGAGGTGGGCGGGGTGGCCTAATGGGCTAACGCGTGTGCACTGCACCGCCGTTGCCCGGCAATCTGATACATAACAGTTTGATAAAAAAAATAGTCACGAGTTCGCGTCCCGGTGCCCGGAGTAGTTTTTAAATTCCTGCCCACACTCCCTGGCCCAGGAAAACCCCCGTATAGCCTTAGAGGCGATGAAGGGGAGGACAAAAAAAAAAAAAAAAAAAAAAAAAAAAATTGGTGAGTGGAAGTAGTATCACAGAGCAACAATATTATTGTTATCTATATTTAGCGTTCAAAGAGTAATTGATGCTTGTCTGATAATACAAAATATATCCGAGTAATACATATTTTTAGTGCATACGATTTATAATTCCCTGTTTCTTAAAACGATGCAGAATTGGAAAACACCCTGCTACTAGGGGCTGACACCTTTTCTAAATGTAAATATGTCTGTTCGAAATTTGCTTGATTCCTCTGTTTACTAAATCAAACAGGGAATATGCTGAGGTGTGGAGTGAATATGGAGGCTAAAACAAACCGGGCAATGTATATTTTATGTAAATGGTTCGGGGACTGCCTTTCCGCTATCTCTTTTGCTCAACGGTTTATACACCTCTGGCCTTTCAAAGCCCTCGTCACAAACATAGCCTGTTTACATTTTCTACCTTCTCTTTGTTCTGTTTTTATTCAAATATTAAATTATTTCGAAATGCACAATGAAATTCGAAGAATAATTAATTAGATTTCAATTTTTTTATATCGTTTGAAGTAAATTACAAAAATAATTATCTTCTATTTGGCTGAAAAATATAAAATGTAATGATGCATAAAAATAATATGTATATCAATCAGATCTCTCTCTCTTTATCTCTCTCTCTCTCTCTCTCTCTCTCTCTATATATATATATATATATATATATATATATATATACATATTTATTTATTTATACTCATTAATTTAGATACAAAAGAGAGAAACTCAGGTTTTAACTGGATCTCACAAATTAAAAAAATAGACGCAACTAATTATATTGATGACGACCTTTTTGAAGAGCTAAAACCAAATTACTTACTTACAAATAAAGATATAATTATCGAAAAAGCAAAAAATCATCTCTACTCTGTAGATGTTGATAGGGCTCTCAACTCTAAATACAACCCACTTTACAGAACTGTTTGTAGCTTTAACTG